TGTATGTATGTATTGCATTAGACGAATTGGTTGCCGCAGGACATGTCATCACATACTCCGATCGCCGGGGTGAAGGATGGGCTCAATGGCGTGCTGGCCCAACACTATCTTGGCACGTTTGACGTCCCTGTCACCAACATCAACATAATTGGGCGTCCCATAGCAACGTCAGGGGTAAGGATCATAACGGAGTCCATGAAGCAAGCCCGCGGATTCTTGCAGCAGCACGCCATCTTGGCTATGGTTGAAGCATCGAATGTACCCGCCGGCGGGCTGAGTGCGGCGGCAGCCGCGAAGCTCCAATTACGGATTCTGGACGGCGCGCACAGGACGCACTGTGCTCTGCAGCTGTACGGCGGAGAGTTCATCATCCCCTGTCGCATCTATACCGATTTCAATCCGCTGGAGGAGGCCGTCGTCGCCNGGGGGCTCCGGCCCATGTGCGGTGTGACTGCTGCTGCTACAAGCTACAACATCTACGTACAATTATCTGACCTGTACCTACATGTACCTCACCAGCAGTGCCTGTCACATGTTGCCACGTCCAGGCTTGAACAACGTCGCGCAGGCTCTGGTCCCCCGTGGCGTGTTCGACGATGTTTTCTTCATGAACCAGCTCCTCGATGGCTTCAGGAAGATGCAGGGTTCGCTTTTCCCATCTGCTAAGATGATCCAAGACGCCTACGTAAAGGTGCGTTCCGGGGACCCCCACCAGCTAGATAGACGCTGATGATGTTGGCAGGAAAGACGTCCTCCGTCTTCACGCCTCTGTTCGTGATGCCGTCGCAAAATACGTTGTGATGATCCTAACCCTCTCTGCGGAACTCGCCTCTGGTGACGATATGTTGTCGGAACGCAGGGGGGTCTCTCTCCACCTCGCCAATCAACCGTCCGCTACCATAAGGCTGCCGTTAATTGTCTGACGACGGAAGGATTCCAGGCGCTGCAGCGGATCCAAGAGAGATCTCACGAAGACCCCTCCATCCACATGGCGTCCCTTACGTGGACCACTCTCAGCCACAGCGCGTTTGGTGAAGCCGGTCAGACCAGTGGTGCGATTCAAGCTCTTATGCTCGAACACATGGTTAGGTGAGCATTGAGTTGGCCGGCCGTACAAGACACGCATGCGTGTGGCAAAGTACCTAGCCTTAATCCCTCACCACAAACGTGAAACACCCATGTTTCTGGTCAGATATCCCGAGCCTCCCGAATTATCTGAGGCTGTCAATGTGTGTCTGGTACGGCTTTCATTTGTGCGCGAGGTTCTTCAACGCCTCCACCACCACCCCCACCCTCCCCGCCAGGTTCCGCTCCTCATCCGACAACTCGAAGGCGCTAACGGGCGATGATCTACCTGACGTCGCCAAACTCGCTCACGATGCACATGACTTCATGGAACGGACTGAGGCGGCATTCGGCGCTCGTAGCGAGTGGTCCCCCGAGCTCGCAGTGTGAGTGATAACGTCGTATACCACACGTCATGTAGCATTACAAGGCGTCATGTCGGCACACTAGGCCCGTAGCAGTTAGCCGCGAAGGCGTGACAACTGTTTTTTCTTCCACTCAGCCAAAGACCTTTTTTTTCCTTGTTCTTGCCGCGGCTCATCGTTCGATAGGCTGGTAGAAAAGTACGCCTACGTCCAGTCAGGCGCTCTCGAGACAATTGTCCGCCCATGGATGAAAAAGCGGGATGACGAGGCGAACGAACTCAGCAGCAAATTGCCCGGCGACCGACGTTTGTCCGACGACCACTTCCACGTCATCTCCGCCGCGAAACCCCTCGGCCGCATCCACAAGGTACCTACCCAGGATTACATGCCCTGTTATGTGTTGCGTATTCCCTCCTGTTTTTTGGCAGCGCTGTGCAAGAGAAGGCGTCTTTTGTCTTTGGACGACTATCGAGTGTTAGGAGTGCAGCGACTTAACCACTGTGTTTCTCGTCCCATATGGCGGCCGATTCGTTTGCCGGATGAAGCAGGCTGCCACTAAGAGTAAGACAGAACCGTCGACAACCCACTACGAGACATTCCAGAAGCGGTTTCAGGAAGTCATGCTCGCCTACAACATTTCCGAGCTCGTCGCCGACACTTCATCCAGTCAAGGCTCGACGGAGGGCGACAATGGAGTTGAGGCGACGGGGACTGGCGTCAGAAGCGGCGCGGGGGGCGGGGAGGAAGGCGAACAAACCTCTGACGGAGAAGATGGGGATGTTGGGGGCGGAGAGGACGGAGACTTCGGAGACGGAGAGGGAGACATGGATGAAGAGGGTGCGGGTGATGAGGGAGGAAACGGCGAAGATTACGACACCACCCCGCGGACCGGAAATGTAAAGGGGAAGCGGAAGGGGAAGCGGAAGGGGAAGGAGAAGGCCAAAGGACAGGAGAAAGACAACGAAGGCACGGTGGTGAAGGCCAGGCAAGCGAGTCGGCGCAAGTCCACCGGTCACGGAGGGCTGCTGTTGACGCCGGCGACTGTTGAAGACGTGGAGGAGTGCATGTGAGTAGCCAAGTAAATAATTACAAACACGGGGCGGGTGCGGGGGGGTCCGTGGTGGCGTCGCTCTCGGTGCTTTCTTCACCGTGAACGTGGGTGTCGATCTGACCCTTGTCTTTTGTGTACCGTCTCTCCTTTCTCCCGCGGTAGTCTTGCCTGTATCTGCGACCCTGCATCAAACATTAGGTGTTGAATCTGTGTCTTGACGCCGTGCCACTCTCCCGTCAAGAATCCTTGTTGCGACATGGGCATGCTCGATGTTCGTATGACCCGGCAACACCAGCCTTACACCAACATTCTCCACCGCATTCCAAGGGCGCAAAACTTCGTCGTGCACGAGGAGTACAGCCTGCTCGATATGGATCGCGATGAGCAGGCTGCCATCGACCTCCGCAGACGGGCCAAGTTGGTCTTGCTCAACGTCGGCGCATTCCAGGGGTGTAAGGCCGACGACGACAGGCTCGCAGACCTCATCTACAATGTCCGGCACAGCATGATATGCCCGCGGGGAACCATGGCTTTCCTGGTCCCCCATCCGTGGTTCGAGAATGGACACCACCTGCAAGGTGAACCCGCAGACTTGAATAACCTACCCAAGTGATTGGTCGAGTGCGCAATCTCGAGCGCGCGACAACGTGCAGGTCGTGTTCATAAACCCTTCACGTGTCCCTCACGTTGACAAGTCTGATGCGCTTGCAGAAGAGATAGGGTAGGGAAACCACTCACACCTCTCCGAGACGCAGATCGCGAGTGCGTCGCGAGTTGTCAGCTGGCAATATTTACCTTGAGTTCCTCGGCGTAAATTGTTGGCCTACTGATTGCATGGGTTGCTCCACGCAGACACCACCGTCATACCGGTGGGTTAACGGCGCGCCTGGATTTTTCAATCGCGCATCTCTGTCCCTGCAGCCGCACTCACAGCTAAGGGCATGCGCGTGGTTATCGAGGAGATCATGCTGACTCTGGTGTACTCCTCTCCTAGGGCAGGACGCCCTGCGTCCGCTGCCAACGGTCATCTGAAGTTTAGCCAGGACGCGGTCATGCTCGTACATCTGACCTCTTTTTCATCCAGCAACTCGCCGACGGATGGTTTCACTGTGAACGAGAAAGTGACGACGGACGACCTGTACGGGAACAGCACGGCGGCCAGTGTAACATCCCAGTGTTCGTCGATCCTCACAGACATCCAACACCCCGGGAAAGGCGTGGACTGGCCCAAGGCTTTGATGTTCCTCGTGAACAGGTGACATTTCATATCGTTGCTGGATGTTATTATGTATCCTGTGTACGTCTTCAACCCATATGTATTATTAGTGTTCTCTCGTCGTCGGCAGCCAAACCCGACATGATAGGGAGGACATCGAGCGAGAGATGCTTTCCAATACATGACAGCGTGACTTACTTGCCGAGTCACCGATTTATGTGGTCAAGTGGTGCACTTGTTGATGTCCGCGGTGGTATGTGGTCTATGTTTGACACGTCTTAGAAGGAAGAAGCATGGAGTTTGCGTTTGAACGTGAACTTTTCAGCCTTCGTCCGCGGCGACGGGGAGGTCGAAATGGCTGACACTCTAGCCACTTATTATTAATGGCGTCAGTGCAGGATACTTTCGGAGATGCGCTAAAACGTGTATATTTCTTCTCGGTAACCCGGCCCCACAAAAGTGACCAGCGTAATGCCGCCTTATGCCGCAGATACTCGCGTCAAGGCGACACCGTCTTACTATTCGGCGCGGAACACAACACCAGAGTGGAAACTGCTATTACACGCGGTCGGAAGGTTGAGGCCTTCGTCGCATCGCCTGAGGCGGCGGTGAAAGTGGAGGCTAGGACCGAGATCGCATTCCAAACGGCGTATGCGCAGGGGATTTTTAAGGTGCGCACCGGGTAGAAATTGCTTCGTGGTCTCACGTCCGTATGCGAGGGGAGATCGGCCGATGGTTATATTTAGCGCCCCGTACCAACACATCACGGAGCTTATGCGCCATACTTCCATATACCCGAACATCATGATGCTTTTCTTTATGTTTCTTTCTTGCAGTCCACTGCGGCTGTCACGTCGCAAGTTACAATCTCCAGAGAGCGCCTCCCTTGTGCCATCCCGAGGGGAAATGTTCCGCCGGGCATACAGACGGCCTGTACCGAGGCCGTTGACGAGAGCCCGGAACTGTCGGATAAGGACATCAACCTGGGCGTTGCGCAAGCTACGGTAGCTAAGATGGGCTGGGCGATCGAGGTACTTTGCCATTTATAGCCTACCGACATTAGAGGATCGTGCCGCGAGACGAGTTGCCGGGCACGCGCGTGACTTCCACCACGCCGGTGTGTTATCCACTCCCAATTCCGCGAAAGTGTTTACCTTCCGCACTTGGCACACGTTCGAGGATAGTAGTACCAGCCGGTCCTCCAACCACACGCTCTCGTGGTGTAGACGATTTACCTTTTTGGACAATGTTGCCTTCCAACCGGCAATGCGGGAAGGCAATTCTTGTCGTGGTGCACGACCGACATAAACACTGAGTCCGTCACACAGCAGACACATAAAAAATAAAAACATACACACACACACGTCTAGATCTACCCTCCTTACTGCTGCTTTTTAAACGAATGGTGGTGTTGGCGAAGGCACCAGTCGAGTCATCGTTGCCATCGCCAACCACTTGGCGCACGAAGCCTTTGCCGGGGGAATTTAGACGACGAAAGATCCTTAGTTCGCCTAGAAGCTTTACATACTAACAGGATTCGGGGACGGTTTACCTTCGAGCTAGCTCGTTTTCTGTCGATGCGAACTCGCGATGTGTTCAAACGTCATGGGCTACTGATCGACCAACTTCCACCAGGGCCAATCGGTTGGGATCTCTGCGACAACGATAGTGGTGAGAGTAATTCTTTTGGGAGTGACGAAGACGAAGGAAAGGGAAAAGGGAGAAAGGAGGATGAAGACGACGATGGAGCAGGAAAACATTGAGGAGTGGAAGAGAGCAAAGGGTTTGAGCCAGATGACCTTCCCCACAACAAGNCGGAGACGGTTTATCTTCGAGCTAGCTCGTTTTCTGTCTATGCGAACTCTCGATGTGTTCAAACGTCATGGGCTACTAATCGACCAGCTTCCACGAGGGCCAATCGGTTGGGATCTCTGCGACAACGATAGTAATGAGGGTAATTCTTTTGGGAGTGACGAAGACGAAGGAAAGGGNCAGAGCGGAACCAAGGAGGATCATGGTGAAAGTTCTCCTAAAAGAACTCGAGTACAAGGTAGTAGCCTTGGTAGGCGCGTGCAGTTTGCTTTTGTTGCTGCTGTTTCTGGCTTTGATCCGAAGGACAGTTTAGCCTCCCCCATGCTTTCCCCTCACGGGGTCCCAGTTCATGGCAGATAGAAGTGTTTTGTGTTTTCAACCGCACTGAGACTGACGTCTTTTCATTGGTCGCCGGTTAGCGCGGTCGATGCTACTAGTAAACACACACATACACACCTTGATGTGTTCTACCCCAGAAGGGATGGTGGTTGCACTGTCTGACCCCCCCCCCCCCCCCCCCCCCCCCCCCCCCCCCCCCCCCCCCCCCCCCCCCCCCC